TTATTTTTAAAAAATAAATATTATACATTAAACATAATTTCATTGGACAATCATCAAATGAGATTGAAATATTGATACGCTAAACCTTTAGATATATTTTTGTTAAATATGAATAGATTTTATGAAAAAAAATAATCTAATAAAATAAAAGATGAATGAAATACGATTGTTTTCATAATAATCTTATCATAAATAACAACTGATAAAGAATAATGATTAATCATCAAGTACGATCGAAAAATTCAATGCTTAAAATTAAAACGTTTTTAAAGTTAGCAATCAAATCAATACATACTAAAGGTAATATAAAAAATAATCATATCATCAAGTTAATATAATAAAGATTTGATATAATAATTGAAGTTAAAATTATAAAATTAATATTATAATAATACCCATTTAAAATTTTAATATAAATCGATACTAAATCTAAAATTCGATAGTATCTATGTAACTCCCTCAGACCGATGCGGTTATCTCGATCCTATCTGGAGTGTCACATTAGGGCCACCGGAGCGACCCATTGTAAAAATAGCGGAAAATTTAAAACTTTTCTTTAAACATGTAACGTATAAAATCATTTATTAGTATTCAGAAATAAAACAGATTTTTAAATTCGTATATAAAACAAAATACAATTACATGCCCCCTAATCACATGTATCATACTCTGAAAGCAACGCCGGAAGAACTCCCTTACTGTTGTCGATAGCTGCACTGATACAATTCTTTTAACCTGCAATGTTGAGTAATAGAGTGAGCTTCGGAAAGCTCAGTAATACAGAACTACCAAGTGATGCTAAAGGACATGCAGATAAATGTGAAGCCATAATTTCCTTATTGAATCAAACGTATACCAGCTTGTAAGATAATATAGGATTCCATTAGTAGTTCATCGAGTAGAAACCATGAAGATCACAGTTCATAGGAAGCATTCATAGTATCACGTTTTCATGAGATCGAATAGGATGTCTAGTGTGTTCCAACAGTACGATAAAATTATAGTAGGTACAATAAACGAGTAATAGTTCAGTAAATCATCATAATGAAGTTTCACTTTTGAAACTCGTAGTTTAAATCCTTTTCATGTACACCATCCGCAGTTCCTCGGAACTACGTCCGTAGGGCTTACCTTAAGCACATAGCAAAAACGAAGCCACCTAAGGATAGGCTTTGGGCCTGTATCCTTAGGCCCGTAAGTCTATAGGGCTTACCCTAAGCACATGGTAAAAGGGAGACAACCTAATGGAGCATCTTGGGGCCCGTGAGCCTACCCAAGAGTCACAATAGGTCCGTAATCATCGTTATCATATATCAGTGAAAACCAATAATCATATATCAGCCATAGTCCATAAACCATCACCGTAAGTCGGTGCATCATAAAACAGTAACCATAGATTTTAGTGTACCTCATTTCAAAACAGATAAAATAATTATGTAGTACATAGGGAACACACTAGAGGATCCAAGTGTTTTTCAGAGGCATTTTGTAATTATCGGTAAGGATAACATGAAACTCGTTCAATTTGATTGGATTCTAAGAACAAGGTCCTATTGGAGAGAATCGATTATTAACCGATCTAATCAGACATTTAAAGTTGATACTTTAGAATTCCACTATGATTCATGTGCATCAGGAAAGCGTTCTAGAATGCCCGGAGTGATTTGAGCTAATAAAGGAGAAACGAAGCTTCAAGACATTTACAATCCATGTTAATCGATCGGTTTATCGAACAATTCGAACTGAACAAGCTCTCTGAACTAATGCATGTTAACCCGTCAATTTATTGCCTTTTCAGAGTATTTACTCTTTAATACCAAAATTTTTTTGTCCATAAATCATCTTCGTAATCATCGCTGAATAGATCTTCCAATAGTCTTTATTTCATTTCCATATTTCAACGATATCAGGAAATACATACGTACTTGATTCATGTTTTATAACCCATAAGGATAATTCATCATGTATGTTCAACAGTGTTCCCAAACTCATCAAATCACCTATTTAATCCTCATTCATTGAGGTTACTCATTTCGTTTATCAGTCAAGTCTATCTCGATTACTTCAGAGCTTTCCAGATAACCAGACGTTTCCGGATTTCAAATATATATATTGTACTTCCGTTTAATTTAATTTGGTCTTCGTGGTTGATTTGTCGAACAAATATCCATTTCTTATTATCGAATGTGACCTAGAGTTGAGTTGAGCTGAGTACTTTCAAAATTATCATCGAACCACACTTGAGAAGACGAACACGCATTCAAGTAACATCTATACATTTCAGGTACTGACATATACACTAGCATTGATTGCTCGGCTTAATATGTGATCCATAACTTTTAAAAGCAGTACCATATCCATGTTTATTTGGATTCCTTAATTAATCCAACACTTCTACTAATTTTAGGTCATAAGGGTATTTTGGTCATTCTGGTGCCCAGTTTCATTCCATTCTTTTCAGAGCTCGAGGATATCAAATCATTCCTGAGCTTGGTAATATTCTTGAGTCTTTTTCATTACAGGGGTATTCTGGTCATTTTACAGATCCGGTGTATTTTAATTCTTTCCTTCAATTTTGTCTTATTATTTAATTCCAATTTATCATTTATTCCAGACCTTTCAAATAATTTTGACAAAAGAGCACCCTCGATAATTTATTCTTAACTCGAAGATTTTCAGATCGATTGTCTTCTCAGAAGTTACCCACAGGTTATCAGAAATTTTCTGTACAAAGACATGATCTTAACAATTAAATCTGTAATTCATTTAGTTAAGTATAAATTCTCAAAGAACTTTCTCATTCAGGGTTAACTCGAGCTATTTTTACCTTTCAAGGGTATTTTTGTAATTTCTTAACCAGATGATTTCGGTATTAACTCTTAACGAGCATACTTATAATTTAAAGATCCTATGGTTAGTTGTTTCCTCGAACATTCTCTGATCTTGAAATGATTCCTTAACAGAGTTCTAGTATCTTGCATAATCCCTATTGAGGTTAAAAACCGATTATCCATAATTTCCAAGTAAAACTAACATTTCTTATGCACATCAATAAATTTATCAGATCAATGTCTTTTCCGTTTTACTAATCCACTTCCAGAGACAATACTTGTCATTTTCCAACATAAGGATAATTTCATAATTTTACCTAATCGAAATATTCTCATAATTTCCCATAAAAGTACCTTTAACATTTAACCTTTGATGATATAAAATATAAGTTACAAATCCAGGGCTGATTTCTTTATCACTTATCACAAACTTGTAATTTAATTCTAACAATTCCTCAATCTCTTATATTAGTCATTCGATCCGTATTCAGTTACAGAATTTCTACCACATTTATATCGAGTGAATAAATTATTAAACTCCACAAAAGTGACCAACATTATCTTATTCATGCATTTACCAATATCAACATGTTCCATAAAACATAAAGAGGTAGTAAAGTATTACCTCGATTTCCATGCAATACTGATCGACCATTTAAATTTCATTCGAACGTCCTCGATCTTTGATTCAACTTCTAATATTTTCCTCTCGATCCAGACCATCAAAATATTTTAACTCGTATTCAAATAATTTCCTTACCATAAAAAAAGCTTATTAGAATTGAAATAATAATTTGAAAACCCAAATGATTAAACTAAAACTTTCAAAGTCGTTAAAATATTTAATAACTAAAATAAGGTACTAGATTGAATTAATTTAAACTATCATAGCTTGGTTGAAATTTTATTAAAACTGATAGACAAGTTAGAACCTTACCAAACATAGAGGACTGAAACTATGATTTGTCCATCTTGCTATCTTAACACCCCACACAAGTGATTTTCAAAAGAAATTATGGAACTTCTTCATTTCACGCTACCATCACCGTTTCTATATTTTTTTTCAGTGCTCTTTTCATATCTCAAGCAAGGAGGTTCCAACGGCAGATCATCGGCCGCCATTAACCGCCGGTGGACACCACATCGGCCGTCGTCAGTGACCGCCAGTCGAAACCCAAATTATTCTGTTCGAATCGTCTCATTCTCCTTATCACAAATCTAGCCTCTGATCATCGATTATATTTATAAATAACTGCAGATCTACCAAAAATGTTTCGGATCCGAGGCTCTCCATGTTCCCATCCGGTTCGCTTGTCATCGGTGTAACGCTGGAACAACAGTTTCTGGTTCTGCTTCTTTTCTCTTTTGGCCAAGAAAATCACTATGTTAGAGATATACTTTAGTATTTCTGGGCTGCTCAATCCTCTCTCGATGGTCATTACAAGGTCATTCTAAAAAAGCTTACCCGAGACTGAAATGAAGAAGAAAGGGGCGAGGCGACATGAGAGATTGGAGCAGAACAGCTAAAAGCCATAAACAAATACGTATGTACTTTTTATATTCGTAGAGAAAAGGCTATGGGTAGGAGAGAGTCAAGCACGAGCAGTGCATGTTGATGGATTCTTCGGAATACCAAAATGAATGGAAAAGAATTTAAGCAGACCCATGGCGATACCAAATGAACTGGAGATAATCAAGTAATGTAATCAATTGGATTGTGTTTCTAAATATTTTGAATAAAATAATAATAAAAGAATCATTTATTTTAAATCATTTATTTTAAATCATTTATTTCAATCATTCATCCCTCCATCACTTCATATTATTTTATTATTTGAATGGAGATTGTTATTGGAGAATGACAAAGCAATTAACTTATTTAATTGATTTCAAGCTTTGGTGGACACATAAATTGGCCGGAAGTGAGCTGAAAGCAATGGATTCCAACCATTATCCTTAATTTTTATAGTGGATCCAAAATTTTAATTTGACTACTTCTTAAATCATATATTTAAAATTAAAGAAATTTAACCCCATATTGAGGTGTGACAATCTATAAGACCTTACCTTTATTCAATCTAAAAATATATTTCATCCTGATCTAAATTCGACCAAAAATCAATTTTACTACCCGTACCAATGGCCCTAAATTAATGGGCTCCTAAATATCAAGGCCTGTTATCCTAAAATATTAGGAACAAGGCGTACAATTGCAGCAATCCTCTTTAATCCCTCAATTATTGTTTTTCCCCTTCCAAGTTTTTTACACTGACCATAATCACAGTTTAATTTCTCCCCTTTCCCTGTCAAATCCTCTCCCCCCAGAGACACAGAAATGAAGCGCTTCATTTTCCCTTAATTTTCGAGCTAGATGCTCGTTGGTGCTTCAATTAAAGTTTGGTGTTTAAGAGAAGTTTGTGTATTTTGAGAATTTTGTCAGGTAAATCTTGTTTGAGTTGCCGTTGTTCATTTTAGAAACTGGATTCTAAATTGATATTAAGCTTTTTTTTTCTTATTTTGATGAGGGTTTAATTGGAATTTGATTTTTGTTTTGGTGGGTTAAGGATGAATCAGTGATCAACATCTGGAAAGTAAAAGGAATCAGACGAAAGAGAGGAATTGGAAATTCATTGGCTGTTCTTTTTCTGGGTTTGGTAAATTAACATTGAGGGGTTTGATTTTGTAAACTTGGGTGTTGACAATTTGGGAAATGCATGATTTAGAGTTAAAAAACTTGTTTTTTTAATCAATCTTTTATGGGTTTTTGTTATTTGAGTCTGTAATAAAGGTGGATGCATAATTTTGCAATTCTTTCTTTTTTAACAAGAAAAAAATCGAGACTTTTAGGAATGTTGATGAGAATGGATTGTTTCTGGGGAAACAATAATGGCTGTTATGTTGTTCTTGAAGATTGATTGGATGAGGAAGCATCTGTGATTACAAATTTTGTTTTTGAGATTGGGTTGGATTTTGTTAGGGATACTTCAGTGTTGTCTCATATTTTAGCTGAGTTTTTGTGTTTTTAATGGATGACATTGACATTGAGGATGATGCTAGATATCCTCCAAATCCATATGGTGTTAGTCACCGGGAGGGTTATGGTTCTTCAAATCGCCAAAAGCTTCCTGTAAGAAACGTTCCGTTTCCTAGACCGATAAGGAATCATTATGTTGATGATGATGAAGATGAGGGCGACGAAGCTGAAGATGAGGGAGACGAAAATCTTAACCAAAATAATGGTGTTCGATATGTAGGAAAAGGTGTGATTGATGATGATGACGACGACGACGACGAAGATGATGACTTGTTGGATGATGATGATGATGATGATGATGATGATGATGATTCTAATGAAGGTGGTGACTTGGGGAAGCATCCGAAAAAGAGGAAATTGAAGAGTTTGGTGTCAAGTTATGAATTTGCTCCTCGAGTAACTTCACCCGCAGTTCCATCGCCGTCGGTGCTAAAGCCTGCATATGGTGGGAGGAATTCTCTTACGGATTGGACTGAGCACGAGACATTCATTTTGCTAGATTCCTGGGGTGACCACTTTTTGCAATGTGGGAGGAAGTGTCTTCGTACCGAGGAATGGCGAGAGGTTGCAGAGAAGGTTTCAGAGACTTCAAAGATCGAAAGGACCGAGACACAATGCCGGAATCGGTTGGATACATTGAAGAAAAAATACAAAAAGGAGAAGGCTATGCTAGCAGAGACTGGTGCTACCACTAGTAAATGGATTTATTTCAAGAAGATGGATATATTGATGTCAACCTCTCCACAGCAGGGCCAGCTCTCTTGTGGGTTCGACTCGGGTGAATATGTATTCAAGAACCCTCGGGTTTATTTGACCCGAGCAAATGGTTTGGATGAAATGAGGGATAGTCCAGCAAACTCCGATTCTGCCAATGGCGAGGAGGATGTCTCAGATGGGCTGCCACCTAAAAAGAGAAGATTCAGGAGGCAATCCGATGAGAGTTCTTCGGTCAGACTGCTTGCGGATTCTATTCAGAAATTTAGCGACATATACAAAAAGATCGAGAATAGTAAAAGGCAGCAGATGCTGGAATTGGAGAAGATGAGAATGGATTTTCACAGGGAGTTGGAAATGCAGAAGAGGCAGATCATGGAGAGAGCACAGGCCGAAATTGCGAAAATGCAGCGCAGCGATGACTCGGCGAACGACGTATCTGCCGAGAATGCTAGTGGGTAATATATGCAAAATCCAGTTATCTTCTTTATAACATTCATCTGATTTAAACTGCTAAATGTTGTTGTATAATGATATTGGAGCCGTCTGCAAATTGCTATTATGAGACAATAATAACACCCTTGTCATACTGCACCACTTAGTCGAGTGGAAACTTTTATAGATCAACAATTGCTCTTGCTGACAAACAAGCTTAAAAACATGGATTCGGCTTTAGGTAACATCAGCTATTTCAGGTGAATGGCTGAGTTCTTAGATCGGTAGATCAGTGGTCCTGCAACTATGGATGAGTATTTGACCGACTCGAGCAAAAAAAAATTGAGTTATTCAAATTTACGAGTTTTATTTTATATCTCAAATTTTATTTGAATTTTTTTCTAGTCAAGTCCATAAAATTCAAGTCAGAGTTGTTTGTTATGGGGTTACATGATTTTAATTTAAACGGTTTTCTATAACCATGCCTCATATATATATATATAGAGAGAGGTAAAATCTATTTACATTATTTAAAACTAATAAGTTTTATATTAATTTATAGTCGTTAAATTTGAATAAATAAATGATTTAAATTTAATTAAAATTACGATTAATAAAAAAAGAGTTTTTTCAATTCACATTAAAATATTCTCTTTTTCCTTTTTACCATAAAACCCATCGTCTCTTTCTTTTTGTCCTCCCCCACCCCTCTTTTCTCCACGAGCACCGATAAATGTTTATGTTTTTCTTTCTTATCAGAAGCTCTTCCTCATTGTAACTGGTCGTTCTTTTTTATTTTATTTTTATTATTATCTCTATTAGTTGAAAGCCTACTTTATAATAAACGTGTGAAATTTATAGAAAATTGATGGACTGAAGTTTGCAAGTAACCATACTTCATAGAAATTTGATAGAAAATCTATTTTATTGGTCATACATTTTAATTAAATCTAAATTATTTATTTATTAAAATCTAATGACTATAAATTAGTGTAAAATTTATTAGTTTTATATAGTGTAAATGGATCATATCCAGTGGTAGAGCATAAGCAGGGCTAATGGGGTCATGTCCCCCCAAAATTTTCAAAAATTCATATTAAATTTTAAAAAATTTTAATGTTCTTAATTAAATCTCCTATAATTTTAAAAAAAAAATCTTATTAAGCCTTTTCAGAATTTCAAAAAAATTAATTAGACCGTAATATTTTTGGAAAAAAAATATAAATTAAACATTTCAAAAAAAAATCAAAATTTTAATTTAAACTTCCAAATATTTTAAATTTTTAAGTTAGGTCCCTAAACTTTATCACCAAGTTTCGCCATTGATCCTATCGCTATATATATCATACAAAGTTGAGAGATTTTTTACTTGAGCTTGAAAATCAATATACAATTACTAAAAAAATTTGAATTATTCAAGTTATTTGAGTTTTATTTCATAACTCAACTTGAATTAAAAAAAATTGTATCGAAATAAAATTTTTTGAGTTATGTAAAATTTTAGAATTTTATTTAATGTATGTGCAACTTTAAAGTTAAAAGTTCACCTTATTGGATAATGACCACATAATTTACCCTCGGTGGATATAAGCTACCCTACTTCATATAAACAGTAATTGGAATTTCAACCTATACAAGCCTAGAAATTACTAGCTTTGAATACTTCGACTGTGAACTCTTATCCATTTCTAAGAGAAATAAAAATTCTAACTAAAAATCAATTCCAAAACACTTTGATTTCACTTGTAATGATTAAGTGGGTAAACAAGTTAAAGATTTTAAAAAATTAATCAACAATGAATAACAAATTTTCACAAATGACTCGAAAATAATAATAAAGTGAAACATTATTAATTTATACATTTGATTGAACTGAAAAAAATGAAATCATTATATATATTATATTTCAAATAATTTATAAAAATAACACCTTCAAAAGATTATTTATGAAATAATAATCTTTTAAGAATCGTAGATGAACAAATGTGATTTTATACATATGATAATCAAACTTCGAAAAGATACAGCCACAGGGATGGATCGAGAGGAAGGTGGATGGAGACAATCGTCATCTGAAAACTTAAAATTATCATGTATTTTAGAATTTTTTTCTATATATTTTCTATTAAAAATCTATTTTCGTCTCTTGAAATTTTATAAGTTCAAGTTCGCCCCTAATATAAAATTATGCATCCATCTGTAGACACACTTTTACTTATGTGAAAGAAACTTAAAAAAAAAAGCACATCTATTAAAACGTACATTTCATGCATTTTCAGTAGTTAATGAGTTACCAAAGATTAAATCAAAAATGAAATAATGAGACAAAAGTAAGGAACAATTAAATATTTTTTATCTGAAAAAAATGAGCATACACATTACAAGACTAATACGCATGCTAAAACTAGTACAAGTTAAAGAAGAACATATCACATTAATCAGATGTTGATTTCATTTTTCAGATGAAATCCATTTAATTTTCATTTTTTTTTAGATAAATGCACTGATTTCGTTTATCTAGAAAGGCAGCAACTGCCAATAAACAATACAACAAACACAACAGCCAACAGAACAAAGCCAAAACAGGCCTCATTCTTAAACACAGCAACTGCCACTTATTTTTTTATTCAATTTGATCATTCGATATATCCTTTCAAGATGCGTGTTTAAAAACATGATTGACATATCACGTGTTAAAAAAATATGATTTTGATCAATTATCCCTTAATGGTGTTATTTTTCATAAATAAATAGAAATGGTATATATATAATCAAATTGTGTTTATACTTATATATTTAATGATTAAAATAAAAATTGATTTAGATGCACTTTGGGAAATTCTGCTGTAAGGCGGTTAAAAAAGAGTTAAAAAACGGTGTGACCGGTTAAAATGTAGACCGGTTATGTTATATCATTTAACCGGAAATATTATCAAGTGCAATAACATATTAGGTAGCGCTTATATAATGTAATAGGTAGCGGTTATATAATAAAATATGTTAATTACTTAATTTGTTATTACAAAATATTAGGTAAACGCCCAAAATGTTTCCAAGGATAGCATAACCAGTTAATTACTGGAAATATTATCAAGCACAATAACATATTAGGTAACACTTATATAGCGTAATAGGTAACGCTTATATAATAAAATAGGTTAATTACTTAATTTGTTATTACAACATATTAGGTAAACGCCTAAAATGTTACCAAGGATAACATAACAGGTTATTTACTAGAAACATTATCAAACACAATAATATATTAGGTAGCGCTTATATAACGTAATAGGTAGCACTTATATAATAAAATGGGTTAATTACTTAATTTGTTATTACAACATATTAGGTAAACGCCTAAAATGTTACCAATGATAACATAACCGGTTAATTATTGAAAATATTATCAAGCATAATAATATATTTGGTAGAGCTTATGTAACATAATAGGTTGCACATTATTAAAGCTGATGAGGCTTTAGAAATCAGACGATAACAAAATAGGTAATTACTTACTTAATTTGTTATAAGTTATAATAAACTTACCTTAGGAATAAATGTTAACACAATTTAAATTGATAGAGCCATTAGGAATCCCACAATAACATAATCGGCTAATCAATTGATTTGTTATCAAGTTTTATCAACATGGTAATTGTTTACGCATATTATAATGATACCGATTGACTTTAACCGTTTTCATTGGAAATTAATCTATCACTTTAAAGTAATAGATTTCGAATTTATAAGTATATATATATATATATATATATATATATATATATATATATAATGTGGGGGGGGTTAAATGGAGCCTTAGAACCTTGTACATTGTTTACTTATATTTTCACGATACCGAATGAATTAAACCGTTTTCATTGTCAATTAACCTATTACTTAAAAGAAATAGGTTTCGAAATTATAAGTATGAAATTACTTAAAAGTATTGATACATATATAAAAGTTTATGATATTATCATTATACTGGTATAATTTTACTGTGTACATTGTAAATTTAACTATTACTTATACAAAGCTCATAAAGGGTTATCAGAATGTTGGATTTACACAAAGACATATACAATGCACTTGAAAGATGTCAAGCAAAGGAAATCGTCAATCGGGTGTCAATGCAATTACTGCTTACTTTTAACCGGTACTTGGATACTCTGATACTTTAACCTTGCCAAACAATCTGTAGAATAAAGTCTCCTGCAAATTATAGCCAGAATCAGTTCTGTAACTGGGATTATCCAAGTTAATTATGTTAACTGCATAGTTAATAAAACCTGGGGGTCCAAATGGTAAGCTAGGAATTGATAATACAAACTTCCTTTGAGGGTTTAGGGACTGAATCCCTCCAACGTAAAGAGTGCATGATTGAACATTACATATAATAGTTGTATTCAGTTGTTGAATAATTGTTCTTCATTTTATATAAGGATAATTGTAATGATATTCGTTCACGTTTCAGGACCAATTAGTTAGATGCATACAATACCCTATATCCTCGAGGCAGAGCACAAGAAATCTAACACTTAAATATTTACTAAGAGCGGTAGCTTTTGCTCTGAATGAAGACCGAACCTAGAATCAACTTTGCAATTATGCATATCATGCTGAAGAGAACATGTTGAATTATAGGATTTGCACACAACTAAGTTTATCTGTTGTCAAATTTTTTAATATTTCTTCATGATTTCCACCTACAACATTATTATTACTCAACATTTCTGGTAACGCTAAATCGAATTTATTAAATATCTTTTAATGTATCTGATAACACCTTATATTAACCGTATATTAGTCCGCCTTTACTGAGATAACCCGCACTTGTGAAAAAGAGAAAAGTGACAGCGAAGAGAATAAAGAATCGTTTTCCACTCAAAAAATAATTTTTCGACATTGTTTTTCCCCCTTATTTTTCGACCAAAATACCTTCACTTTTTAAACCTCTCGTATTCCCCCCCAGAAACGTATCAAAATTTGTTGCAACTATTATTTGGTTTTGGTTTACAATAGGGAAGAAAAAACTACAAGGCAAAAAGGAAAGCAGGCACCAAGAGGGAGGAGAAGTGATATTTGTTGCATGGGAAAATGGAAATCTATTCAAACATATACCTAATCCGATCTTACTAATGTAGGTATTTTCGAGAGTTGATATTCAAGCAAATTTGAGGTTGGGGATGAGTTGATCAGATCAGTAAAGCTGCAGTGTCAAAGTTAAGAATCACCTTGTCAGAAGCAAAAATACCTTTTTCATTTATCTCTTCTGGAAGTAACAAAGCTCTCTCCATTTCATTCCTCAAGTTAATGAATTGGGAAATCTTTTTAGAGTTTTTTCATTTTAAAAATAGCAAGAAATAATTACACGATAATATCTATTTAATTTTTTTAATCAATTTATAATATACATCCTGCAGATGCAAGTATTCAATCATGAAGGTTTGGAATCAAATAAAAACAATATAACATTTGATACACTTCTACGCCAAAGGGGTGGTTTAGCTTTGGCTACTGCCCATTCTACAATGCCAGGATTATTATCCCCCGGCGGATATAAGACACCCCGCGCCATACAGGTATCCTCGTTCATTTTAGCCTGGAAATAATTATCCTAATCAGACCAGAGTGATATTCATGTAGAATCCTCCCCAATATTTGCCGATTGATGAAAGAAGAAACAAATCAGCCTAAAAAGCTTATTGGGAAGCTCACCCGCTTGCTTGCTTGAATTCTATCTCCTTTCCCAGTTTTTATACCATTTTCTACAAAATGTAGACGATAAGAATACCGGGTATTTTTTGTTTCTTTTGTTCATTTAATTTTCTAAACAAAAATTAATTTTACCTAAGCGGATAAACTCACAAGTGAAGAAATAAATTTCAGGTATACCTGCCAGGCAAAGAAAATATTAAGATTGTCATTTACCCTGATGATGGATTCAAAATGACGATTTTTTTTGGTTCTCATTTTCAACTACTGAACTTCTCTTATTTCACACCTAAACAATTGATGTAATTAGAGATGCACAAAAAATCCGAATATCTGATTTTGTGCAAAAAAATATATGAAACCGAATTTGAGAAAAATCGATTTTTTTTAAACCGGATCAGATATTTTAAAACCGGATAGTATAACCGATTTGAGAAAAAATTGGACGACCAGATTTTTTACCGGATTAAAAACTGGTTTGAAAAAAACCAGATAAAAAATCAGTTTTTTATCCGGAAAAAAATCCGGTCTGAGGTTTAAAAATCCGGTCTGGGGTTTAAAAAATTAGATGACCGGATTTTTACCGGATTAAAAACCAGTTTTTTTCAAATCAAAATCGGTTACACCGGTTACATCATCCGGCCCTCCAAACCGGTTATGATCCGAACCGGTTTTTTTATAAATCAATTTTTTAGCTTAGTGAAAAAACCAGATCGATTTTTATTCGATCCGGATCGGATTTAAATCCGACTATGTGCATGTCTAGTTGCAATCATTGTTTGGTTTTTGTTTACCAAAGTAAGGAGGAACAAATAAAATGAGACAATCCGGAAACCAAGAACCAAGAGGGTAAAAAAGGTGCTACTTGTTACATGGGATATCTGTTCAATAGACACAATGTGAAGAATCTGATTTCAAGAAAATCATATAACAATACCCACAGCAAATCGTAAACCTTTAGCACTTGGTATATCCTTGAAAAGAGTAAACATTTAGCCTCCCACTAACAAAAAACTCGTTAGCAAGGAAACCATAATGACCGTATCTCCTCTTAAAAACCCTCTTTTGATAAAATCAGGATTCTAATGACTCGGTCTTAATGAAAACAAATTCAGTAGACAGACGAGCAATGCAAAGAGAAGTCTTTACGAAATCATGACCCCAAATAACACAACCGTTAACCCATCCAAGAGTCGGTCTCAAACTTTCTAGAAAATAGTGGGTTTACACATAAGAATGAAAACCGAGCTAATAATTTATGTGGTAGTAGATGCACCCTCTGATTTGTCGGATTCCATTGGTTCAGAAGCCGGTGGTGCCTCACCATTACCTGGGGATGCATTTTCATTGGGCAGATCACGGTTGGGGCTTGCATTTGGATTCGCATTAGTATCTGCACCCTGAGGTGGTGGGGTTGCCGGTGTTTCAGGTGAGGCTGGTTTAGCAGGTTTAGCTGGCTTAGGTTTCATCATAATAGGCCTGCAAAACCTGTTTAACGCAGATTCACATCTCAGCGCCAGGAATCATATCAAATGTAAGCATGAACATCTATAGACATAAAATTCGTACCTATCTAGTGCTTCAGCTTTCTTTCTCACATCAGCTGACAAGAGAATTGGAGTAGCATGCTTGGGAAGTTGGTCCTGCTGCTGTTTTCTCTCTCTCAGCCAGGCCTCAGCTTCTACACACTCGTTCAACACCTATAATTGCAATGCACCAAAAGAATTATATCTCAGTACTAACAGCAGGGAGTGGAGCGCGATGAAGGGACCAAGACAATACCTTTTGCTTTTCAGCAAGTTCAATGTGATCAAATTTAGGATCATTTGACATGGCTGCCTCCCTGTAACTGTTAATACAGTAAGCAAGTTGGTCAATGACAGTTCCCCTGTCAGTATATTCTTTGAAACGTTCTTCAATAGGATCCCCTTGCTTCAAAGTTAAGACAATCTGTCAGGTACATGATGTATACAGTCAACCTGAGTAGGCCAGAAGAAGAACAATTGTTACCTTCTTAAGCTCTTCAAGCTTAGCAACATAAACACCCTTTGTTTCATCTTCTCCATCTTCATATAGCCAATCCTCAGTTTCTTGAAGCTTAATCATAAGCTCTTCCTTGTCCGGAGCAGTAACAAAATCATGGTATTTATCACTTAGCTGAAGAGTGAAGACACAAGGTATAATCAGTTTCAAGATCATGACAGCCAAGAAACAGTTCAATGATTCAGAAGATTAGTAGATAGCATCGTACCTTATTCCTCATGTCATATACATAAGCCTCAACAGCGTTCTTTTTATCCTTGGTTTCTTCCATTACCCTATCTTGCAAAGCCATTTCGAACTCCTTCTCTACTGCCTTTTGAACATCTGCAGCTAACATAGCACCATAGACCAACTCTGCCACTGGGACATTTGTTTTCTTCACCTTCTTCTTGGGAGCCTCAACCTATATGACAGGCAGAACAACATACCTAAACCAACCGACCAAACCATGCAAGAACCCAGGACTAAAAGTATTCCACATAAATACCAACCACATTAAACATTTTTGGATTAGGAGTTAGTCTGCCTTAAAGGCTACACCACCTCCGCATATTCATGCACATACAGCAAAGAATAATCACTTACTTTAGTATCAGTCTCCATTTTCACAGGATTGTCACCTGACTCATCAACACCATTTTCAGCCCCTGCTGCATCAGCTGTAGGCTTGGCATCTTGCATGTTAACATCAGTCTCATTGGCACTTGGAGCAGCAGTATCACTAGGTGCTTCATCAGTCTCCATCTTAGAATTGTCTTTTTCAGGCTCTTTTGAAACTGGAACTTCAACTTCTTCCTCTTCCAAGAGCTAACATTACATTAAAGTAGTCAGGAAAGCAGAAAAAAGAAGAATTCACATTTAAGATATAATAAAAATTTAAAAAGTTAAATCAAAACTACTTACAGTTGCCGACTCAAGGGACACAATCCCATGCAAATTCAGGCGGACCTTGACCTTCAATTTTGGTCGTTCATTTCTTATTGTTGGGAAAGGCCCAATCTGCCATTTACAAATGCCACAAATTATAACGACTGTAAATGTTAAACAAGAACCAAGTTACCCTCACGCTCAAGTAAAAAGAAAACAAAATCTAATCAGAAGAGGCTGATCAAGATTTATGAATATATTACCGTGTAAGTACTGATCTTTGCCGGGGCCTGCAAATCACTAACATCAGAATATTTAACATCAACAGAGAAAGTACTTGATTTGTGGAATGTCACAGCCTTGACACTGGGTATTGGGTTTCCCTTCGGGAAAACCAGTTGTTGTTGTTCTGCTCCTCCAGTCTGACAATCCGGACCAGAACCCTTCCATGATAGTGAGATTGGGAAAGGGAAGCTCTCATTGACCTTATCAAATCAAAGGTATTAAGAGGTCAGCTGTGTTCAAAATACAGCAGGAGGGAAAAGAGCATGACATTGACTATACCACTAGCAGCAACAACAATGGGAATATGAGGAACGTAAAAGGAAAAGGTAGAAGGAAAAATATACCATCAAGGGAACTAAAAAAAAAACAAGAGCTTGAAATCATACTACAACGCAATCAAATGCTAATTAATGAACCATGAAAATGAAGAGCTGAGATAGCAAACAATTCAGACAACAAAAATTATCATAAGTAGAAAATTACCTGAAAGTCTCGAACTTTGAATGTGGGACTGAGAATTGCACATTCCAAAGCACAACCCCTTGCAACACATTCACTAGCATTCATTGTGCGTCTAGGCTCTTTACCAAAGAACTCCATGAGGATTTTCATCATAGCAGGAACACGAGAGGCTGAGCCAACAACCTCAACCATATGAACATTTTCAACAGCAAGTCCAGCATCAGCAAGTGCTTTCTCAAGTGGCCTTCTCACACGTTGCAAAATTGGAGCACTGATCTGCTCAAACTCCTCTCTCTTAATGAAACCCCTGACATCCTTCTCATCCATCAAGCACTCAATATTCAAAGGTGCCTCAGGATTGGCACTAAGTACCTTCTTTAGCTTCTCACAAGCTGCCCGGAGTCTAGTACAAGCCCTAGCATTCTGGAAGACATCAATCTTGTATTCCTCTTTAAATTTTGCAGCAAAATGTTGAAACAGAACTTCATCAAAATCTCTACCACCCAAAGAGCGGTCAAATGAATGAGCTAGGATCTTGAGTTGCCCCTTTTTGAAGGCAGCAATACAAACTTGCATGCTAGCATGTCCAATATCAACAAAGGCAACATTTAATGGGTCATTTTCAGGTAAATCAGTTTTATAAATACCATAAGCCAATGCTGTTGCTGTAGTTTCATGAATCAAGCGAAGGGGGTGCAAGCCTGCAATTGTGGCAGCATCGAGGACAGCCCTTCTTTGAAGATCAGTGAAGTATACAGGAATTCCAATGCAGCAATCCACCACAGCTGCATTTAGATTCTTCTCGGCTATGCTTTTCAAATTCGACAAAACCATTCCCAAAACTTGGGTTGGGGTAAAAGCTCTCATTTCACCTAAATACCGAGCATGAATCAAAGGATATCCATCAGGCCCCTCGGTGACATTGAAGGGCAATGACTTGAGATCTCTTTGCAACTCGGGATCTGAGAACTGACGGCCAATTAATCGCTTTATCTGAGAAATTGAATTCTTAGGATTCATTGTAGTAGATGCTGCCCCTGCAGTACCAATGAATCTCTGCTTGTCCCCAAAGCAAACAATAGCTGGTGTTTCACGCTTTGATTCATCATTAAGCACAACATCAATTCCTCTCTGCCTCGCAACAGCAACAATGCAGCTCTCATTGCCAAAATCAAACCCAACAACGCTCATTTTCAGCAGAAATTACACAACTTCACTATATCAATAAAATCAAGCTGGCATACTAGAAAACAGAAGGCAATAAGATTATATAAATTCATGTGTGCATGTGTATGTACAAATACGTACATACAGAAATTAAGCGGGAAACCTAGCTAGTGACGCAACTGCACATTTAATAAATAACGTATTGCATCAATCACAGTGATATAAGTATATTCCCATTTATCACGAGCAAAAGATTACTGCTCAAGATCCTATGTCAAATTCAATGGGCTAGAGTTCATGGTGTCAGAAAATATAGCTAATGGAGCACCATAATTGCAGAATTAATAACACATTGCATCAACCACAGTCATATGAGTATATTCCCATTTTTTTCTGAGCAGCACCTAAGATTCCAGGTCAACTTCCAGGGCTTGAGCTCGTAGGGTGATTTCTCTTAAATGCATACAATAAAGATCACTACAAGATTCAATAATCATTCCCCCCTTTCATTCCCATTTTAAGACTCATGGAGTTGATCACTCACACAAGGAGACAAACCAAATAAGGCTCGGAGACAAGTGCTAACTACAAGCAAGCGGAGATCAAATACTTCTACAAGGTACAACCACAACACTTAAGTTGAAAAAACCAAAAATATAAGTAAATAAATAAAAAGGTAATGCACATACATAAATCAAACAATTGTAAACAAACCCTAAAACTTTAACAATTACATATCAACCAAAAACGAGAACCCTTTAACTAAAACTAATCAGGAATTAAACTGCTTGCAATGGCAAACCATAAATTGCGTTCAAATCAACCTAAAACAACTACTTTAAACGTCAAAGAATTCCCAACGACAAAAGGAGTTGAATCTGAAGAAGAAAAATTAGAAATCAAATAAGAAACTACCTAATTCTCTAGAAACAGCTAGATCTGAAGACAAACAAATATCAATGCCATTTTACGCGCCAAATCTAAAACTGAACAGATCTACAAGTTACTGAATGAAAAAAGTAAATGCAAGAACAACAACGATTAACGAGATCCACATAAATGCAAAGTGCAAAGGCCAGCGATCGTACCTTCGAAGGGGGGATTAGAGCCCAAAGGAGTCCTGTCAATATTTCTTATGCGTTCGAGAGAGAGCCTCACGAAGCCAAAAAGAGAGTCGAGGGGGCGCTTATTAATGAGGGCTTGTGTGAAATTTTCGATTTTTCCCCTAAATAATTAATAATGGATTCATACGGGGCTTTGTTTCCCTACTATTTTATAAAGATTTTGAACGAGTTCATCCGTGGAATTGAGTGGACCAACCTCGACTAGAGATGTCTAGAGATCCTAGTTTCTAGAAAGATCTACCCAAAGCAGACTCTTTTGAATTCTTTAGGGCTGAGCTTTTATTTGGGGTTCTGATTTATTTTTCCTTATAAATGGACTTAATGGGCTTATTCTTCTTTTTCCTTGAAATTTTATTTGTTATATCCCATCCAAAAAAATTGATTATTAATACATACGTGCTCATCTTAAAAAATATATTTTTTAATTCGTCACTGAATCATTGTATTTTAATTCCTTGGATTATGATCTCTTCATATTAAAAAAAAAGGTGTTGTCAACTTTTCGTTATTGAGTTAATAGTTGGGTGGTAAAAATGATAAAGTAATCAAAATGTAGATGACCGTTTTAGAAATTTTTATAGTTAAATGACTGAAATAAACATTCATTAATAATTAGGAAATTTTCTAAAATAAAAACTTTAAGGCAAATTAAAAGTTGTTGAACCATAGTCTTTGAACGTGAAGACAATAGTAAGGTGAAAATATGTACTGTTGATAAGGGGGGAAATAGGAGGAAACGAGGAGAAAGGTTAATTCAATCACCCAAAATCTAAGTTGTGTAATAAAGAAGAGTAAATCACACTCGTGATCATTAAAGTTTCAATGAGTTTTATTTTGATCACTAACATTTTAAAAGTTATAATCATTAAGATTATTGATATATCACAAAATTGTCACTCTTCCGTTGACTCTCTTAAGCTGATGAAGTGACACGGTAACAAGAATACCCGATATCCAATTTGACCCCTAAATTATAACTAGTACTTCACTTAGTCCTTTAACATATTTTAAAAAAAAAAATCTTAAAAAATCATAATTGATATAATAATAGATTTAGTCTGCGTACGAACCATAATTTCGAATCGAATCGAGTCGAGTTTTACTCACCCCTACTTTTGGACTATTGTCTTCTACTTGGAAGGTTTGCTAACCAACTTTTCTTATTACCACATTAGCAATTCCCATAGAAGGTCTCCCTTCCTCTGCATTTTGTCTTCTGACTTGCTGCTACATTTTTTTGCAAGAATTTGACAGGTAGACTCGTTCATGAAGCATCTTTTATTGTATCCTTTATGTAAACTCAATTGTTTAGTGTGTGGCCTTTCTTTCAAAATTTACAAGCACCAATGAAGTTTTGTTGTTGGTCTGCCTCATCATTAGAGAATGTTGTAGAATGCACATAGCTTTATCCAACAAAGGATTTTAGATAAGGAATCCCTTTGGGTAAAAGCTTATGGTACACGAAATTGAACAAACATAAATTCAACTCTTTTAAATACGTCTAAGAATCTTTAAGGGAGATGAAAGCTAAAAAAACAAGTACTTGAACCATTTTGTAATATTCAAGTGATTTTAAGTCCCACATCCCTGACGTACCATAAGAAAAATTGAAGAATGGTGTACAAGATGAGAGTATATCACTATTATGAACGTACTTACCTGGACGGGGTCAATGGGTGAACAAATAGACTCATGGCCTAGGGCCGTGACCTCCATTGCACTTGGGAGGGGTGCTGATCTAAGGTCTCTTCAAGCGGGAGAGCCTATGTCATAATTTGTGGCAGAAGGGATTTGCGTGCGCGTTGTCCCTATAAATCTTCAGTTATAATATTTCTTATATATATCCATATTTGTATTCTAGGGAAAAGAAACACCTAAGGCTAATCACGCTTTGATCACAAGTATTTACCCTAAAGGGAGCCGTTCATCCCTAAGCAAAATTACATTTTGCAAAATTGTTCTTTAAGAGGTAGAATTATTTACCCCAAAGGGAGCCCTTCAACCCCAATCATATTAGTTACACAGTCTACATAGAACAGAACTAAAAGAAGAGGTAGTTGAACTTAAAACAAAACTAAAATGACGATCTCGATTCTTTCGGTCAGTTCTTTTTATGCAGGGGTTGTAAAGTTGAACTAAAAGGTGATGTTGAATGAAATTGGAGGTGGTGCGACGGCTTTAACTGATAATGACACTTTGATAGACCACGAAAGAGATGGACATGAAACCATTTGGATATGTTCAACTTCGAAAGCATTGTTGCTGCTACGAACTGTTTTTCAGTAGAAAACAAGTTAGGAGACAACGACTTTGGTTAAGGTTTGTAAGGTAGTAAACGATGTCTAGGAACCAAACTTAATGTCATCTCTATTGTAGACATGGATGGATCGAGTGGAGCTGGCCGAGGCAGTCGTTCAGTGACGGACTGCACCCCCAAATTTTTTTATCATTAAAAAAATAGGGATAATTATCAATTTAGATTTTTAAATTTTGATTTATTTTGATTTTGCCCCCATTTTCTATTGTTAATTATACTTTTCCCCTGAAGTAAAATCTTGGCTCTGTACCTGCGGTCGTTCTCATAATCGATGGTCGATTCGTTCATGTAAACAACTCTTCTGTTGAAGAGTTTGGAGCATTGCAATTGCAGCCATTACAGGTGTTCTTGTTTTATTATCATTCCAAATTACAACCACATTCATGTTACTTTTTGTCAGTTGAACAAGTTTTATTCGCAATCGTAGAGTAGGAAAAAAACCACAATGGTCATACACAAGATCAAACTCAACATAGAGTAGAAAAACAAAAAGGGCAGCTTCCTCTAAACAGCAGAAACGCTACCTGCACAACAATCTCAAGTCCTAGACACACTGTCAATTAATAGGACATTCCATATCGGTTGGAGAATAAACCGACAAGTCTTGCATGTATTATAAAATGGAGCTAACAAGCATGGTGAAAGCATCTTTGCGCTTGGGGCAATGACGCAGCTAGTGAGGAAATAACCGAGGCGCGTCTATTGCTGGTTGAAAACTATTTCCAAATACCCTCTTTGGCCTTGGTTCACCCTCGGCCTTTGAGAATTTCTTGAAGGACTCCCTTCGGGGTAAAGTCCTACAATTTTTAGTTTATAAAACCTTTTATGTTATTAACACTAGACCAATTTTTTAGTTTTTTTTAATTTGTTTATAGATACAAGAAGTATGCGTTGAAATAGCTTGACAAAGATGAGCTTCTATAGAGATTGACAAAGATAAAAAATGTAAACGTATAAATACTTCTAATTTTATCTAGTTTGCGGATGCTCTAACCTATAAAAGTAATTTCAATTTCTTGTCAAAGCAAGTAGTTTCATCTCTCTTGTTTTTGGATTTGCGTATTGGTCTCATCTGGTTTTTCTTTTGAGCAGTTCAGTGATTAGTTGGTTTGCTTGGGCGTTCGGGCTTGTCTTGTCTGGTGGTAAAGATGGTTGCAATGTTGAATGTTATTGGTTTAGGGGGAGGCTGTTAGGGTGTATGCACTGGCTCTTCGTAGAAGCAGAGTGTGAAATGATCCCAACTATTTTGGTTGCTGTTAGCTTTAGATTGACGCATATGTTTGTTTGGTATGGCCTAGTTTTTTTTACCATGCAGGGATGAGGTACTCTTTTCCTTCGTCTATAATCGAATACCGATCTTTAGTTTGAGTTTGTAAAAAGGTCGATGAATGTTTTTAATGAGACCCATTCTTTTCTTTCAAGAAAAGTCACTTTTGTTCTTGTATCACTCTCCCATTCCTCAACAAGATTCGACCACAGATCTAAAATATCAATGGAGGAATGATCATCAATATCAATAGGAAAGAAACCTTATCATAAATGGAGCGATTAATCTCATCCCCTAATAATGGATTGGAGTCTCTAATTTTTTCAACTCATTTTTTTCATTTATAATTGAAGCCTCTAATTTGTTCAATCTCACTTCCTACTTTACAAATGAAGCCCCTATTTTTTTTTAATCTCACTTTTTACTTTTATAATTGAGGCTCCTAGTTTTCTTAATCTCACTTTTACCTTTATAATTGAGACCCCTAATTTTATTATCTCACTTTTTACCTTTATAATTCAATCCCTAATTTTTTTCAATCCCACTTTTTACTTTTATAATTTATACCCCCTAATTTAATCATTTTTAAGATTTATTAATGTAATATTAAATTAATTATTCAAAATAATCCTTCTATAAATGTTTATTTTTTAATTTCGCTCGGGATCCCGAAAATATTCGAGACGACTATGTATGAACTAGGATGTCTTCGAGTAGTCAATGTTAACTTGTTTACGAGAGAACTGATCACAATAAATTTGGTTCTCAATTTAGTGGTCATAATCTTAAATCAATGTTTTGATTTGAGATTGAATATGATTTTGGGTCAGTTGACATTGAGGTTGACCTTGCATGTGATATGGTTTGCGCATAACATTCACCGAGGCCAAAGGGAATGGATGCACATAAAACTATGCTTCACTTCTTGCAATATGGGATGAGGTTATCCACCATATAGAACATTGTTTTTTTTATGCCTTTTCTTTGTGGTATGTTATTCGAAGAAGAAAAAAACTCACTCTTATTTTTAAGGGGAGAACCCATATCTCTGACATGTCATAAACAAGATTCAAGGGTGATGTATAAGATGAGAATATATCCTCATATTTGAACATACTTACCTAGACGGGTCAATGGGCGATCAAAAAGGCTCATGGTTTAGGGCAATGACCTCCATTGTACTACTCTAAGGTCTCCTCAAGAGAGAGAGCCTACGTCATAATTTGTGGCAACGGGAGACTTGCGTTCGTGCAGTCCCTACTAATCTTTAGTTATAATGTATATACTCATCTTCCCTAGTTGAACGTTTGTCTTCTAGGCATTCGAACCAAGCAGGGAACGATCCTTTATATGATCTAAAATGAATGTGAGAAACACAAGGTCAGCCTAACACCAATTTATTAGTAATGTTTTAGTCTTAAAAGAAAGGGCATATGACCTAAAATAATTGTGAGAAACCCAAGGATGTGAGAAAAAAAAATAAGGAGGTTTAGATAGAGTTTATGAAATTTGAACGAGTGAGGTAAAAAGCTACAGAAGTCAGATTTATATTATACTTGATATTTGTTTAATTGGAACTTTGGAATAATTTTATAATAACCATGGTTTCTACATAATGTTTTTGATTATTGAAACTACAATAAAGAAAGCTTTGGAAATTTTAGTTTCGATAGCTAAAAGTTCTACGTGGTGAATGCATGTTCTTTGCCTCATAGTATGATCATATATATATATGAGAATTTGGACACTTTTAAGATGATCATATAGGTTAATATGTTCATTAAAGATCCTATAAAATCAATTAAATTCAACTTAAGGTTCTTAGTCATGTAGTTTAGATGTTTAAATATCAAATTCATCATTTATTTTATTTTATGATATATTTTATCAGTCTCTCAATTTAGCTAATCTACTTCACAATTTATTTTAATTATTCTTTTAAATTAGACCAACTACTTTAATTTTAGAATTTTCCTAATAAAGTGAGTGTGGAGTTAATAAATAAGAAAATTTTGTAAACTAAAGATTGTAGGGCTTTACCCCGAAGGGAGCCCTTCCAGAAATTCTCAAAGGCCGAGGGCGAACCAAGGCCAAAGAGGGGGTTTGGAAATAGTTTTCAACCAGCAATAGACGCGCCTCGGTTATTACCTCACTAGCTGCGTCATTGCCCCAAGCGCAAAGATGCTCTTCACAATGCTTGTTAGCTCCATTTTATAATACATGCAAGACTTGTCAATTTATTCTCCAACCGATGTGGAATCTCTTATTAATTGACAGTGTGTCTATGACTTGAGATTGCTGTGAAGGTAGCGTTTCTGTTGTTTAGAGGAAGGTGCCCTTTTTGTTTTTCTACTCTATATTAAATTCGATCTTGAGTATGACCAATGAGAAAATTGTGGGTTTTTTTTCCAAATTAAAATTCATTGGATAGAAATTGTAATAGTGATAAACTACTTGAATGATCAGGAACAAAAGTGTTATACAATTGACAAAATGTAAGTAACTTGAATATGGCTGTAATTTGGACAGATAATACTATTGGAATATAAGAAAGACCTGTGTAATGGCTGCATTGCAGTACCCCAAACTCTTCAACAGAAGAGTTGTTTAATTGACCAAACAACTTGGGCAAATATGGACTTAGTGATGAAGAATCATGATAGCTAGAGTCAATAAAGAGGATAAGCAACTTGTTCGGTTAATGATTTAAAAAAAAAAAGTTCGATTCAATTAACGGTTAAAGGGAAAAAAGAAGTTAATTCAATTAATGGGAATTTGGTTGGTTCGGTGGTCGAACCAATCATTTGAACACCCATAGTATGGAGTCTTCAATCATCATCACAAATGCCGTTAAATCTGCCTCACAAACTTGTTTTTGTTGATGATTTGATGTTTACCAAGGGTTCATTTGAATGTCTTAGGTGTGTGGGGAGTTATGAAGTTGTTTTACAATTTTTGAGGGACACGAATCAATTCAGTTAGTCTAAGATTTTCTCATCAGGTGTGGATAATGTAGTTTTATTGAGTATCTTTGAATCAACAGGTGTCAAGAGAGGGAATCTATGTGTGAAATATCTTGGAATACCTTTAATTTTTAGGAGGCTTACTATTAAGGATTGTGTCCCTTCTCATTGATAATATCTCAGTTATGTTACAGAGTTGGAAGTCCAAACAACTTTCTTAGACTGAGAGCTTACAACTTATTCAGTCTGTTATCTACAACATCCATAATTTTAGGAGTAGCCAGCTAACCCTACCTTATGTAGTTATTAAGAAAGTTAAATGGTTGTGTGTATTGTTCTTTTGGAAAGGGATCCGGACAAACATGTCAAGGGTGTAACGGTTAATTGGTCTACTATTTGTTGTCATAATCCTATAGGGGGCTTGGCCTTAGGGTTGGAATTATGCTTGTTTTATTTTCTTGTTTTAGAAGTTTCTTCTTAAGGGTGGCTAAATCCGGATTGCTTGGATCTATTTTTATGTTATTAAGAATAGCTTCTTCTAGTAGGCTACTGGCCTCATGGTTGCAATTGGGCTTGGAGGCAAGGACAAACACATGATTTTAGGAGTTGGAAGTCTAGCCAACTTTCTTAGACTGAGAGCTTACAACTTATTCAGTCTGTGATTTTACGTTAAGTGGCGAACTTGAACTCAAAAAAATTAAGAGGGATAAAAACAGATTTTTACAAGCTAGGGTTTGGAGTTTATTTGGGCTAACTGCAGGTTGAGGAGGAAATCCATGCTTTCGCTAGTGCTGAAGCTTGTTCGGAATGGTTACATAGCTTTGATTTGGAGGGAGAAGAATTGCAAGTAGGTTCAAAAACTTGAAATCTAGTTAATCGGTTCAAATTAATCAAGGGCAAAGTTTTGGAATTGGAGGGCAATAATAAAAAAAAAGTTGACAGGTTCAAGTTAAGGGATAAGCAACTAAGTAAGGAATGGCATGTTAATACTGCAATCTGTATAAGCTGGAATCTTGATGCATAGGTTGGTTGTTGTTCTTTTGTTATTTTTCTGCAGGTTCTTTTTACTGTAATTTGAGGTAGCAGTCTGCTGTTTTGCAATACAAAAGAAATATATACCATTAAAAAATTGCAAATTACCCAAAAGGAATTTACTTTATAAAAAAGGATGCGGAGTAGGACCCTCTTCGGTTGAGGCAGCAATTCATCACGCGCGCGTGAAGAATTACTTTCTCTATTTATAAGAGCTTTTTAGGTAATTTCCCCATTCCCAAAAGTCGAGTGTTTTAGGGTTAGGGCTCTTAATTTTTTGTCTTCCCAATTTCTCTGATCTCTTCTAATTTCAGGCGTTAACATGTCGACCAAGCAAGGTAGCCTCTTCTGGAAATTCGAAGATCTCGACTTTTTTAGATTCGATGTTTCAAATTTATCGATAGGGATTTCGATTCCCGATTCCTGTTAATTTCAAAGATGTTGATTTCTGTTGTGTTTATTATGGGGATCTAGGTGGCAAAGCGAAGCCTTTGAAGCAACCTAAAACTGCAAAGAAAGAATATGACGAGGTATCGCAATTATTATATATATTATTTGAATCGATCTATAATGCAAAAATAAGGGAAAAGGTCACTTATAGTTGAATTTTATTTTATATTTCTTTTGTACGTAGCTCTATTCAAGTATTACTTTCTCTCAATATTTAATTTCCTGCTAGGTCTGCTTATTTGGATTTGCTCTTTGTTTAACTGTATGAAATTAGTAAAGTCGATATTGTTTTGATACAGAATATACTAAATAAAACCATGTTAACCTTATGGAATCTTTGCTGGTATATTGTGCATCGCAATCTGTTCAACTTTAGAATTCATTTGTTTCTGCTGATATCAGTAGTGAAATCATGTAAAACATTTATGATCAGATTTTGTTAATTTTTTAACTGATTTTGTTGATAATGTAATTGTATTTGGTGTTATTTTCTTTATCTCCTTTAACTTGTTTTGTGCAGGTTGATATGGCTAACATTCAGAAAAAGAAGGAAGAAGAAAAGGTGAGGTGTTGGTCTTGTTACACTCATGGAGGTCTATTTTTGCCTTTAGCTCTTTTTTAGATTTGGATAAGTATGTTCTTCGAATCATTTTTTTTTTTATTTGTGATGGACAGGTTCTTAAAGAGCTGAGAGCAAAGGCACAAAAGGGGCCGGTTGGTGGTGCAGGACTTAAGAAGAGCGGGAAGAAATGAGGATCTAAAACTCATCAAATCACAAACTGCTGTGGATTCTGTTTGTGAGTAAAACTTCTATTATGATGACATCTCTTGTTTTAGTTTGATGGGCTAGGGCATCATTTGGAATGATCTGATGCTCTAGTTTCGTAATTGAATTTGCTGCAAAACCTTGTGTGAAAGTTCGATATTGTAAAACTTAATAAACTTAAGTTTTATACCGTCTGTTTGTGCTTTTTGTGTCTGCATTTCATATTACCATATTTGTAGTTTGTTGATGAATGGGTTTACTGAACAAATCTGATTCTTAAGTGATCTGCCCATCACTATGACTTTCCCTTTTCAGAGATGCATCCTGAAGTTCCGTTTAATTTGTGAAACCATGATAAATGAAGCACATAGGACTTGAGATGGCTAGCTTTAGGTTCTGAGGGGTGCTTTTGAATCTGTTTGATTTCATGAAAGTTTACAATCATAGCCGTAAATTAAATTCATATTTATAAAAAAAAATTTAACCATCGACACAAGAAATTAGTTACTTAAAATCACACAAGGACCCTACAAGGAAAATGTTAAGAACTTAACCAAAAAGACTCAACAAAATATAGAGATGATCAAATTTGATTGCATTGGCAAATCAAAGAGTAATAAACTATTGAAAGATAATCAATAAATCACGAATCATAGTTGAGCAATATGAGAAAACTATCCATGAATGTTAGTTGTATATCTAAATCTAATGTGATGGTCTAAAGACAAAAAAATGTGCTATAAAAACAGTTATTAAAAATTAAATATAATATAAGACAATAAAAAAATACTGTGTGAAAATATTAGGATGAAAAATACAAATATGCGACGAACCATGTTTAAGTGAATTGAGTATTCTGAAAAGAAGATATTTTATTATAAGATGCTCAAACATATATTTTCATTAATATACAAAGACATATATATAAGGTAATTGAATCTGCAAGCCTTCAGACACATTAATTTGACGATTTTTTATTGTCTTCAATATTACTTGCATCCTGTAGCGTCATCTAAATCTAAAGAACATAACACTCTATTTATAAATACCTAAATCGTAAAGCATACATATGTGCTTATTATAACTCTTATAAGAGTTCAATTTGTTTATTCTTTTGAATTTTTTATATTTTTTTACACCTTTTAGCGTATAAAATAAAGGCTTAAAATACAAATCATCGTGAATTTAGATAACTTTGGTTAAACTGGTACCTAATTTTTTCTTGTCAAATTAGCACCTGAATTTAAAAGTTTTTTTTGATTGTCCTCCCAAGTCCAGAACTTTGTCCTGATTAATCTGGACCGACTCATGTCGAACACTTAATTTTTGGTGGATAAATTTAATATTTTTAATAGTCCAAAATAATTAGAATGTAATTTTATTCAATTTTTTTCTTTTATAAAGTTATATTGTATTTTTATCACCATTGAAAAGACATTATACCCGAGACCGCTGCTGTCAATAAGCTTCATCTCGAGTCGAGCCAACATGCGTCGAATATCATTCTTAAGGTGTGATAAACTAACTCCCCATCCGAAAGAGGTCCCTGCTGGAGCTGATCAAGTGTAAAGCCCGTAGTTCCTGCCCAAGCCTCATGCACTCGACGGACACACATTGAATCATTATTCCAGCAATGATCATATTTAAAATAATCGTCTCACCGTTGAGGACCCGATGGTGTAGGGGAGACCACAGTCTATGAATATGTAGCAATGATCCGATTTGGCCGCAAATTCACTATGGCATTGAGAATGAGTCCGTATCCTTGAAGGAGAAGCCACAAACGCTCACAAATGCGTAGGGAAGTAGTGGAACCCTTATGCGAGGTGCACCATCCTTTGCTCGGTCGAATATCCCATAGGGTTATTCCGTGCAAGAGCGGAGCGAAAACCGGCAATATCAGATCGTGGCCGTCTCTAACCCCAAGTTTTCTCAGAATCAATTAAAATATCCTTAAAACCACCCTTATTAACCATGACAACAATGAGGCGGGATTAAGCCCGTCCAAAAATCTCGTGTTTCAGAACGACGACAACGGTCATTTGCGCCATGAAGCCCGGTGAACTAAAAAGAATCAACCCCACAGTGAATAATATAGTCAATACGAAGATTAGAATGCGGTAATAAATATCCATTAACATTAGAATCCCAGAGAAGAGCTAAACCAGTACAAGTCAGACTATTGGCAACAAATAAACAACCTTCAATCCATAATACATGTTTCAAAGACTCAACGTAGAGCTGTCGAAGCTATAGGATAGAGCAAAAAAGATAGTGCAAAAAATTAAAGGGCTAATGAAGACGTGGCTTTGAATATTGCAGATGAAGATGGAAGTTGGAAAAATAACGTGTTTGACATTTGTGGATGTGTATCGACGATTGATTATAATAATAAATTGTCGTTAACCAAATAAATTATTGTTAATATATTAAGAGGGTAAACTACGTATTTTGTCACCCAACGATTCGTACGGTTCTGTTATGGTCACGCAACTGTTTTTTTTTTCAAAATCATAATTAACGTTAGGTTTTGATTTCATTTCAGTCAAATGCCATTGAAAAATTAAAATAAATATTGACATGTCATTTTTTTATTTGAATGATGATGTGACTTTACTTTATTGTTACGCATTAATATCACTGTTAATTTTTTAAAGATAAGTGATCAAAATAAAACAAAAATATAACGTTAAGTACGATTTAAAAAAAATGAGTGACCAAAATGTAACTGTACGAATAGTTGAATGACTAAATGATGTAATTTACCCGATTAAATATTAACTTAATCATTTATTCTATCCATGCATGCATATAGCAATAACTCCAAATGATGGAGGCTCCGAGGTGAGGCCCCAACGGTTTAAAAAAAAAATGGAGAATGGAGTTTAATGATAAGACATGGAGAATCTCCGACAACTTCATTTCAAATCCACATCATTATGGTCATCCACAGCAATCGAGAAATCTCATGCTCCAAATGAATTTACGCCGTCCAAAATATTATACTATTTTTTTACATAAAGTTTATGTTATGGGCGGCTTAGGTTGATATATACTTAAGATTCAATTAGAATATAGAAATGACCATCCAGCTCAGTTGGTAGAGTACAAGGTTCTAAACCTTGAGGTCGTGGGATCAAGTCCCATGGAGGGCATTTCATAATTTGGAGGTCTCCTACGGAAGCTGCTCTCAACCTGGTGTTGGGGGCAGCCTACTATCTTACCTCCCCCTTACCCCATACATATGGGAAAAAAGGGACAGCCATTTTATTCAATTAGAATATACATAGAAATTTATAAATTATTTATAAAAAATGATGGTGATATGATTCGAATTTTACTTTATATTGTCAAAAAAATATTATATTATTATTATAATCAGGAAAGAGAGAATGCAGAGTTGAGTTCTTCTACTTTATTTTTAATAGAAGGAATTAGTTTTATTTAAAATAGGAAATATCCAAATTACAATAAAAAATTATAATTATAATCGTAAATTAAGCACGTAATTAGAAAAAATTTCTATAATCATTGAAACAAACTAACAACTTAAGATCGCATAAAGACCATATAAGGAAAGATTAGAAATATAACCAAGAAACTCGAACAAATATATATACAAACAAATATGATCATATAAACAAATGAACCACAAAAGGGGATCAAGCATTGAAAGAACGTCGAAAAACCATAAATCAGTCTCAAGAGATGATAAAAGCTATCCACGATCGCAAATCGAGTATATAAATCCAATTGAGGGTCTAAAATAGGGAAGATCAACAAGATATCATATATGCGCCATCTTATCAGTCGTGACAATATCAAATCAATCCTTAGAAAAAATATAAATGAAAAACGACCAACAATTGAAAAATATGCCAAAAATAATAAGAAAATGTGTCATAAAGGTAAATAAAAACATGTCATACATGTAAATTTATTGGAAATAGAAAAATGAGATACGATATAGAAAAGAAAAATACAATAAATATTGATTGTCGACCGCCGATTAACAAAAAGAAAAATAAAAGATATTAATGACACGCCAATGAAAGAAAACTAATTCTGCTCTTTTTAAATATTAATAAAGACCTAAGATTTATATAATATAAATCGTATATATAGTTTTAATTTTTCATCAGACAATATCTTATTATGTAAAGAATTGTTCGAATTCTCTTTAAGTGTGTACATTTTTTAATATCACTATTCTCAAGAGAATACAACAAATTTCATTAGATGTAAGTGAGAGGCTTTAATTATTTTACGTGATCCAGGAAGACTTATTCCATCACCGATAAGTGTGTGGAATCGATGGGTGAGGCCTAATGCCTTTATTAGTGTGTTTTATTTTCTCAATTATCTAATAATAAAGGCAACGTTACACTTAAAAAGGCAGATAATTTCCCACCACTGCTAAACATATAATATACTCGGTGGCACAAATTATGTAAAAAGGAAAATCAAATCAAACAATCATACGAATCAATAGGCAAAGGGTGGTTGCGTCACCCCCACCACTAAGCACAAATTCCATTGGTATTTGGGATAAATAATAAGACAGGAACGCTTCATCAGAACACTGAACCCAAAAAGCACTGAGACAAGGATGAGTTCACGTGTAGAAATCTCGGGAAGCCATTAATGGGGACCTAGAATAGGAGAAGTTGGCCGTTTCCTCCCACTGGAGTTCCCAACAAAATTGCAGCCGGTGCCATTTGTTCCCACTTCATATAGATCAGTTCTTTAGCACTCTATTTTCATCCTCCTTTCTTTCTCCCTTGCTGTTTCTTCCTGTGGTATACACCATTAGAATTGTAAGGTCGTGGAGGAAATTGGGGTTTTTTCTTTCCTTTTGATTCTTGGTTTTTGTTTGAGGGAAATTAGATAAAAAGGTGGAAGCGGCAGATACGGATCTTTTTAAGGTATCTTAGTTGATATTGCCTTTTTTAATGTCCAGCAAGTGCATTATTTTTTGCATCTTAGGGAAACTTAGCATCGTATATAAAGTTAAACACCTTTTTAAAGCTTTTTCTTGAGACAAAAAAGGTTAAAGAAAATCTGTTTTTTTTTTTTGAGTTGGGGAAGAAGGATATTCAAAGCCGTGCAAGAAAAGAACACTATAGGTGTCTTGTCCGTGTTGCCTATATAAAAGCAACAAGGATTCGTATTTCTATTATTTTGGGTGATTGAATTTTGGTGCGATATAATGGATTTCTGGCCAGAGTTTCTTGCAAATAGCTGGGGAAAAGAATTTGTTGCCGGAGGTTTCGGTGGCATGGCCGGCATCGTCTCCGGTTATCCGCTCGACACCCTTAGAATCCGGCAACAAAGCACGGATTCGGGCTCGGCCTTTAGCATCCTACGTCGGGTTGTTGCCAGGGAAGGACCTGGTGCACTCTATAGAGGCATGGCTGCACCATTGGCGTCGGTCACCTTTCAGGTTCTTTTCTCTCATCTACGGTGGTTATTCATTGAATTGTTTCGATCTAAAGGTTCCTTTTTGTGGGTTTTGTGTGATATATTGTTTTATGTTTTGGGTCTGAAGATATCTTTCTTTTCTGTGGCATGGAACTTTATCAGGTTCTAGCTGATTAACTCATCAATCTTATGTGGTACCCAAATTTCCATGTTTATGTTTATTCAAAAGTTGGTGTTTTGCTGATTATATATATATTTGTTGAATGTCATTGTCTATGAATTTGGCCTTACATGGTTCCAACAGCTTATCAAATACTACTAATAACCTTGTTGAAATATTATATGTTATATAGATTAAATAAATTTTGACACATTTACGTTACATTGAAAGATCATTTGTCTGCAAAATATTCGAGATAGGAGCTTTCATTGAATGTTAGAAGTGTGCCTTCGAATAGGGCAAAAGGTAGTTCTTACGTTAAGATTTGTGCATTGCAGAATGCTATGGTTTTCCAGATATATGCCATTCTTTCACGAGCATTCGACTCGTCTGCTTCCGCCACCGATCCACCTTCCTACAAAGGTGTTGCACTAGGAGGAGTCGGAACTGGGGCCTTACAGAGCATCATGCTTGCTCCGGTGGAACTAGTAAAAATCCGCCTGCAATTGCAGAACACAAGTTTTCCAGGTTCTCAATCAGCTGGTGCTCATAAAGGGCCAATTAGTGTTGCTAAAACCATACTAAAAACAGAAGGCCTGAGGGGACTATACAGGGGTTTTACCATCACTGCCCTTCGAGATGCACCGTCTCATGGCTTCTACTTCTGGACGTACGAGTATATGCGAGAACAGCTTCATCCGGGGTGCAGAAAGAGAGGCCAAGAAACCCTCAGAACAATGCTGACAGCAGGAGGTTTAGCAGGGGTTGCTAGCTGGGTTTGCTGCTATCCCTTGGATGTTGTAAAGACTAGGCTGCAGGCTCAGTCACTGGCCTCTCCACAGAAGTACAACGGCATCATTGATTGTCTCCAAAAAAGTGTAAATCAGGAAGGATATAGCATTCTGTGGAGAGGATTAGGGACTGCCGTTGCTCGAGCTTTTGTAGTCAATGGGGCTATATTTTCTGCTTATGAGATTGCATTGAGGTGCTTATTCAACAATGGAAACATTCAGACTGATAACACAATCTAGAATAAACTTGGTTTTACTAAATAGTGGCGATGGTCAAAAAATGCACATGTGACTATAAATCAACAATTTGTTTATAGCTAATAAGAGCAGGTCAGGGATCAAGTATGATATGCCAAGATGTTGAAAGACTACTATATTCTATAAGTGAAACAAGTGAATAAAAATAATAGTCATCATCTTCAGTGTATAGAAAAGCCAACATCTTATCCTCATCCTTGCTCTTGAACAAAATGAATCATCATCTTATCCACAACGCAGTGTTATAATCATCAAACTTAAGTCGACACTCTTTGTCATAAACTACTCGAATTTACTAGTACTTCTAACATTAATCGCACTTCTAAATTGTCGAACACATACTGTCATTACTGATTACAGCTGATCTGATTTGCTTAGCTTAGAATGCATCTGCAATGATTATGCCCTCAGTTTGCAAGCTGCTTATGCTGGTCTCCATTACTTGAAACTTCAGTACTCCAACTCCATAATGCTGCAAGCGTTATACATTGATAAATCAGAATGAAACATAAGGGAAAAGAGTGAAGATGGGGTTTTCTTGGTAGCGTACCCTTGCACTTTGGCCTTCAACGTGAACAAGGGTTAGAATGTGTAACCCAGGGAAGCAGGAACGAATTTTTTTGTTTGCACGTGCGTGTGTGTTTGTGGGTGTTGGGGGGAGGGGGATGAGATCCTCGAGTTTCAGCAAGGTCAAAACAGGGTAACCAACAGATTCAGTTAACACACAAGTATCGAGAGAGGAAACTGTTAAGCAACATTTGGTAAATTCAAAAGCTTTTAAATAAGCCAAGCATTGTATTCTCTTGAACTTCTTATATCTATTTCCATTGGTACAAACTGAAATACGAAAGAAAATCTACATGATCCTATACTTAAACTGACATTATTAACAACTTACATGTAGCAAGATGTTCCCAGGGAACCATTGCAATCTTCATGGCTATTATTTATATATAGTTTGACATTCAAGCATCATTTACAAAAGCTGACGATATGATGCATTAATGGAGTACATAAACACCCAAAAACGTAATACAGCACAATGACCTTCAAAATCATGTTCCAAATTGCTAAAACACTACAGGAGGCATCTCTTCGAATACATTAACATGCATCATTTGCACTGAAGGAAAAAGAAAGTCGATCAGATGAAGGCAATTTATAAATGAGCACAAACAAAGGCTATGGGATAGTTAACAATGGTCAGTTGTGTTAGCTGTATGGACCAGAAACTGATTAAACAACTCGAGTCCCAATAAGCAGAAGCCGTGTGGTTTCCCAGACAACAACAAGGTCCTATTAAGTACAGAACCATACTGGTAAACACACGGAACTAATATTATAATTCCAAGTCTCCTCGGTATAAGCTCAAACTTTCTCGTTTGCAATAACTAAAGAAAGAGATGACAAACGAAAATAAAGAACAATTGTTTAATCACACAAAAAAAAATGGAAAAACTTACAAGGGCTGTGATTAGTTCAATTACTCTATGGACCTGTAATTATTGGAGCAACTAACCACTCCTCCGATCTCACAGACAATTAGGAAGTGAGGGAACAAAGGCGGTTGACAAAATGATCAACCAATTATTCTAGTTCATTCCTGCATTATATATAGCCTCAAACAGTTCAACATACAAGACGATGTTGAAAGACTGATGACCAACTTATTCTAGTTCATTTTTCGTATTAGATTGGCATACAAAATACAGTATATCTAAATATAACCATGGCAAAACTAAAACAAGTGAATTCATATTCTCAACAATAATATCAACAAGAATCAAATAGAAGACGCATTACTTGATCAAACTCCTCATTCTCCGAACTGTTCAATCCTTTCCTCACCGGCATTAAGCCCACAACTATTATCGACCAAAACATGATGATCATTATAATGCCTAACCACCTCTACGATTCCTCGAACACGCTTATACGAATCCGAGGAATTATCGAACACTTCTGACCCCACAAAAACACCATCACACCCTAACTGCATCATCAATGCAGCATCTGCCGGAGACACGATTCCACCAGCGGCAAACTGAACCGCTGGCAGTCTCCCCATTTGCTTGGTTTGAACAATCAATTCGTAAGGGGATGCAATTTTCTTTGAAAATGCAAATACTTCATCTTCGTCCATGTTATTTAAGATCCTAATTTCACCCATCACAGACCTGACGTTTTTAACCGTTTTAACAATGTTACCAGTGCCCAACAAGTCCCCTTGCGTTCTAATCATCGCATCTCCTTCCCTAATTCTGCTTTACGCTTCGCCAAGGTTCTTGCAACCGCAAACAAAAGGGCACCTAAAATTATGCTTGTTGATAAATTTCTCCTCATCAGCTAAGGATAAAACCTCGCTTTCGTCAATGTAATCGACTCGTTCGAGTATCTGGGCTTCAACGAAATGGCCAACGCGGGAGCGAGCCATGATGGGGATCGAAACGACCCGTTTTATCTGTTTGACGAGACCAGGATCCGGCATGAGTGAGATGCCTCGGGGAGTCAGTTCAGTGACGAGTAAACAACAGGCGCCTGCTTCTTCGGCGATTTTGGCCTGGTTGGGGGATGAGACTTGGAGAATGGCTCCGCCACGGAGCATTTGTGCGATGCCAACTTTGATGGAGACCGGGTTTTGCTTGTGATCAATCGGTGATGGCCGTGCTGTTGTAAAGTGTTACAGCTCCGTCTTCTGCCATGGCTGCCAGATGTTTGTGGATTTGCTTCAATGGGAGGGTACTACGGTTTGCTTAGTTTCAAGGCTCTGAGAACGATGATTTAAGGAGGGAACTAAAAAAAGGCTCGTAGGAGATGTTTGGTTACTTCGAGAAGTTTCATGAAGCATTCAAAGTTAGACTGTTTCATTTTTGATCTGCGGGAGGAAATCCCTGGAAACTCCACGTTGTAACCTTTTTAATTAATATGAGTAAATACAAATTAATTAGTATCTATTAAAAGAGAACGTCCAATCATTTAAAAGTAATAAAATGGACACCAACTCTTCTTATTTTCGAAATTTATCATTTTTCATTAAAAATTTTACAATAATTTAATATGAACGTCAATATGCATTCTCAAATATGATAAAATTTTATTTTAATGATATATACTAGTATTGTCATTGTTTTCAAGCATCGATTTAATGATATAATATTTCCAACATTGGCTCAATATAATAATATAAACAGATAATCAATACACAAAATATACCTCAAATAGTTATGTAATAAGATTTTGTCATACCCTAATAAATAGTTTAACATCCAAACTCGGACAATTGCCTGTTGTTTAACAAAAAATGATGAGTTTGAAACCATAAATAGTTATATTATCATTTTGTAACATTTAATAGCCAGATACTCAACAAAATATTACATAATCAAAAGATCATTCTAATATTTTTAATAATCGAAAAACTTAATAAATAAAACCTTATAATGAGAATATCATTTGTTTACTTTACCCATTATTCAATTATATGTGAAAGATTATATTAAATTTTATTTTAAATCTTTAATAAATAAGTTTAATTATTAAAAATATTTTGAAGTTTGTGACTTTTATTTTGTTAAGTTTTTTTTTCTGATAGTTGTTAAACTTAAATATAATTATTTGATATACAATTTTTTTCTCAACAAATTATTTTGATTCTCAATAATATATAATTTTAAAATAATATAATGACAATTAAAAAAATCATAAACAAATTTTAAGATTTAAGTTTTATGAATTCATTAAGTGACCTTAATTGGTGGAGCTATGTCGGGCCTAAAGGGATGTGGCCCTTTTTAATTTGTTTATGTTCAATAGATTAATATTTTAGTTCATTATGTATTTGAATTAAAAAAATATAAAAATTTACTAAATATTTAATCAAGTAAGGAACGAACTAAAGAAGAATAATTTGGTGTTCTTAATTTTGTGGTCTAAAACCAATTTAGGTTATTGTAAGTTTAATATTAAACAAATTAGAGTTGTCTTATGAATTTTAAGTTTAAATACCTAATAAGTCATTCTATTTTATTTAAAAATTTAATATTTCGGCTCATGCCAACATCTGATTTTGGCTACGTCTCTATTAGCATTCCTTAATGATTAAAGAGAATAATATATTCTATTTAGAGATTTTCGGTTAAAACAATTATGTCTACGTGATATGTGTTGTTAACTAATTAAAATTTTATAAACATATACTACTTTGTAATCATATAAAGCTATTTAGAAAAAAGAATTAAATTTTATATTTCAAGATTTAAAATTTGATTTAAAATTTGAATTTTTAGTAGTTTAAGATTAATAAAATTGAGTATTAATCTTTCATAGATTTTAAAATGATTATTAAGATAATTTTGATCGATGAGTGATGGCACAAGATTTAGTGCTAATTATCTTCGTTGATATTTTTTTTTGTTTTTATTTTGTATCTTACATCTTTTTTTTAATAACCATCCTCTGATGGCATGATTTTTTTTATATTTGTGGCATACTTTTTTCTATCTTTATGTATGTTTTAGTTTTTCGATTGTTTGATCGTTTTGTCGTTTATTTTTCCAATTGATGGATTTGACAGTATCACGACTAATCAAAACGGCACTCATTTGTTATCCTACTGATCTTCCCTACATTGAATCCTCAAATTAGTTTTGGATATGCAACATGTGTTTGTAGATAGTTTTCTCATGCTACTTGATTCTCACGCTACTTGACTATGATTTGCGTTTGTTGCAAGTCTTTTAGTAATTTAGTCTTCTGTTGTTATTCGTTTGATGTAGTAGTCAGACATGTTCGTATCTACGTTTTGTTCAAATTTTTTTAGATAGATTTTTACATTTTTCTTGTATGGTCTTTATATTATCTTAAGTGACTAATTTTGTATGTTAATGGTTATATGAAATATCACAAATTTAATTGATCCATTTTTTACTATTAACCTTGAATAAAAGATGAGAGGAATAACCTAAGCAAACATTTAATGAATCCAGGCATTTCAACAACCAA